AAGTGTGAAAATCTACCAAATTTGGTTTTACTCTTTCAGGATTAAATGGATTTTCATCAAGTAAAGGCCGAAACAATAAATAAATCAATATATTTATCAAATCTCCCTGTAGTCAATAAATTGGATAATTATACATATGGTAAATTGATAAATACATAAAAGTCGCGTAAAAATACTGCGTTTCACATTAATACTTATAAAATATATTGGCCTATATCAATATTTACGAATCACTCTGTATACTTTTGTATTAATTATTATTAAATATAGCATTAATTTATTTTTTAGTAAATATTTTCACCTTCTAGAACAATAAAATTAATTATCAAAAACACGTATTTACTTATTTGTGGCTCATCCTGTAAGAGAAAATCATTTTTGACCCCTTTTTATATTCGTAGAATGCCGAAAGATGCTACAATAAGATTTTTCACAAAAAATAATAATCGATTAGCTTTCTCCTGAAATAACCGTTATCAACTAAGTGGTTATTCTTAAATTTAACACCCTGTATCTCAAAAACCAGTCATATGATTTGAATGGCCCCATGGACACTATTGTTAAGGAGGTCGAGAACTGCAACATATCAAAAATTTACGACATTTAACAGGTCGCCACTTTTCCATAAGCGGTGTGCGGGGTCCTTTCTCCGGTCAATGTAACCATTTCTTATGAGGTGTGAATTTTAAATCCGATACTATGAGCAGTTTTCGAGAGACAGTGCGTTAAAGTGGAGAATTACTTACTGATTTTAGTTATTTTTTATTCAAACTGAAAAACTGTATACTTTATATGTACCATATACAATATGTCTCACTATGTTATGTTATGTTGATAATGGGGTGTTAATACACTGCGACCTAAAAGATCTATTGTGCCCCCTTCTGTCGCCACTGCACTAAGGAAATGTCTCAATGCCTATAGCGACCCTTCCAATCCTATTTTCTCAAGGAAGTGTAGGATATGCAACACCCCGCATAAGAAATGTGTACTGTATATTATTTTGTCGCCAAAATACCATATAGAGTCAAAGTAGAATAATTAGTGAAATTTTGCAAAAAACTACCGTCATACATTTGTGAATCACCCGGTAATTAAAAATATATTTTAATTGTATGTATGTAATAATATATTACTATAATATTTATTAAAACTGAGTATGCAACAGAAATTCAATCTAGCTCGTAAGTTGGAAAATAAAAATTCTGAATTCTGGGCAATTTTCAACACCCCGTATATCAAAGAATAGTCATAGGATTAAGTTGGGCCCACTGACATTTTTGGTTACTAGGTTGAGTACAATAACATACCAAAGTTTCAGAAAATTTGACCGGTCGCCACCTTACATAAAGAAAGTGGGGAGGTCTTTTAATATTTTAAAAATCAACAGCTTTAGGATTTGTATGTTTTTAGTATATTAATAGGTACGTAGATCAAAACATTTTCAAAACTTATTCAATTTATTTTTTTCAATAAAAACTTTTTGAATTTTCGAGAAAAATATTTAAAAAATTCCATTAATGATTTTAGTTTTAATTTATACGGTGAGACTCAAAAACGTTGCACCATCCGAATTTTTAATATCGATATCTCAGAAAAAAACCTTTTGTATAAAAGTAGGACGCTTTGCCTAAAATAAAATAATAAATAATTATATACAAGAGAAGTCAAAATATCAGTGCTGGGAAACAGTAATAAAGCCTACACAGAACACGAGGCTAATGACCTTAGCAGTCGATGCCGATGACACCAAATTAAAAAAAAAAACAAAGCTAAACTTCTTTCACAAGTGCAGAATTCAAACGAGGGAGAATATTGCTTTATGCATACTATAATTTTTTTACGATCATAATTTTAAGAGCTTACAAAATGTAAGTATATACAAGGTGTTAATTTCAATTGGCTATAGCTCTGAAGATTAAATTTTGTTTTAGAAAACTCAAAAAAATGTTTCGATAGAATGGAGGGGGAAGCAGTTTAGTAGTGGCAGCAGTTTACTGAATTTTATAATTTTAAACCTATCATGTGATACTCTAATTTAATGGAATTTGTACAGTGTATACATAAAACAATATTTAAGATGAAAAACTTTTATTTTTTAAAAAATTAAAAAATTGTAGCATTTATTATCGCCTAGAAACATTATTTTTTGAGGATATTCGGTGTGGTCCTCTCGTACAATACGAAGTTTAATTTTGACTATTTTTCTGTTAAGAATAAATATTTTTCAAAATATTTTATTTATAACTCTACGCAATGTGCAAAGATCTTTAAATTGAAGTATCGTATGATAGCAATTTAAAATTTTGGAGTTGGACTATTTGCCCCTCTATCTAACTTAACCATCTCAAGGTCACGAAAAACCATCTAACAGAAACAAAATTTCCTGATTCTGTCAAAAATTTCCACAATTTCTTTAACAATTCCAGCAGTCCCTCCAAAATCCCGCCATTCCCCCAAAATTTCTACAAAAATTCCCCATTTTCATCAAAATTCCCAAAATTCCTCAAAAAATCTCCACATTCTCATCAAAAATTGTCATCTTTCGCCCAGAATTTAGAAAACTGCTGTCACTACTAAACTGCTTCCCCATCCATTCTACCGAATAGTTTAATTTTTTCTAAAACAAAAGACCATCTTCAGAGCTATCCAAAGTTTTGAATTTGACCCGTATGTATATTTTATTTATTTGGCCAATGTGACATTATTATACTCTTCACACAGTAGTCTGTGCTAGTATTAAAGGTTTACTTTGTCTGTCCTTCCGATGTTATGTTTTTTGTCCGCACGATAATTTAAGGAAATATCAAGTTCTACAAGGGGACAAAGCCTATTGATTTTGAAAAAAATCTCAATAAAAATGAGGGGATTAAGGGTGGTTAAAATTAAAAAACAATCGTAAATCAAAAACGAAATCAATTTTTATAAAAAATCAAGCTCTATAAATAAATGAAGCCTATCGATTAAAAAAAAATCTGAATAAAATGGGGGCCAAAATAGAAATCGAAAACCAAAAGCGATATCAAGTAGTAAAAATCAAGCACTATAAGGAAATTAATAAATAAATAAAAATGGGAAGATAAGGGGGTTGAAATATTGAAAAAAAAATCCTAACTCAGAAACTAAAAACGATATCAAATTGAAATCATCAGGAAAAAATCAGGGGATGAAGCGTATTGATTATGAAAAAATCTAATTAAAAATGGGGGTTAAGGGGAGCCTGTTAAATTGGGAAGAGTATAATATAGATTGCCAAGCATTATAATATCTTCATTATAGTTTTAACTGTGGTTAGACGCAGGACTTTCGGATTCCTGATTCCCGGTTTCGAATCCCACCAGGAACCGGAAATTTTCTAAATAATATCATTAATTAAAAATAATTCTAATATCTTAGTGGGGTTATTTACTGTTATTTTTTTGGATATGATATTTTACTACCTAATTTATTAGCATCTAGATTTTATTTTATAGATGATTTCTTGAGGATAAGGTTTATACTTATGGAATTTATGTTTTTTTCTCCCTGCGTTAACGCAAATTTGTACAGTTTGTGCTTCGAAAAAAATAAAAAAAACGACTTATACGAGTTTTTTTCAGTCAGTCGTCTATACCTATCAAATTTGATAATTTTTCAAAACATGACAATATCTAAGGTTGTCTTAGAATAAAAAGTAATTTCTTTTTAAGTTTTTTATTTATCCACCAAATTTTAGGGAATTTGGGAAAACTTGAATTTTTTCGCGTTAAAAAGTGCCATAAATCTAATTTTTAAAATTTTTCTAAATATTCAAAGTTCTTACTAGTTCAGTTTTACAAATCCAAACTAAAAGTTATGGTAATTCAATGTTTTGAAGTATTAATTTTTAACTTTTTCCTCAAGAATTCACCTATACAAAATATAATATAACTATATAACTAAAGTCGCACCGGAAATAGTATCAAATCATATACGGAACACGAGACTATTAACTTAACTAGTTGATACTGATGATTTCGGTAATATAAAAATAGAGAGAACTGTACTGTAAATGTTATTAAACAAAATATGTTTTGTAAATTCTTACAAGGAAAGTCTTTTTTAGGCAACTAATATTTTTTTTCTTTTCAGCGAATTTCCGAAAAATGAATTTTAATCGTCGCATATTTTTCAAGTTAATCGGTAGCACGATATCAATGGTCCGAGTTCATGTTCATTTCACTTCTGACAATAAAGACGTTCGATCCTAGAATGTATGTCCTTTGATGTTTAATGTAGATATTTGATTTACAATAGGTAAACTGTCTTCGGATGTACCTTCCACGATCAAATGGACAAGGCTGCAGATATACTACCCGGAGATATATTTACGTATCAAAGGGTTGATATAGAATTGAACATGACGATGATTATTAATGTCGTCGGGAGTAAAAGATTCTTCCGGACGCGTTTTAATCGGTAAAATCTACTTGAAATAATGGATACTGATGGGACAACAAAAGGAAGGAGGAAGGACAATGATAGGCTTTACATAGTGAGTCTTTTGATTCATATTTAAATTTGTCTGTAAACAAATTATTACAACTTTAATCTTTTTCTACATTTTTCATTTATTTTTATTTCTATTGAGATTTCTTATGTTGTTTTAGGAGGCATGAGCGACTTAAAATGGTGAGTCTTTTAATTTAAATTTACTTTTTCCTATAAACAAATTATAACAACTGCGTTAAAAATTAATGGTATCCTACAAGGCAAGTACAAAATTTGTGCTAAATAATAATTTTGTATTTGGTCAACAGAACACACCAGAGGAAAAAATAAATTTTAGGTTATGATTGGGTGATTTTAAAAGACTTAAATGTTTTGAAATATTTTTAAAATAATTGAAATTATTGTGAATACAAAAAAATTTAGAACTTAATGCTGAATTGACGTGGACCCTTATTTTGCAACCCTTAAAAGTTTGTCGGCATATCTACGGAACAAACTGTATAAAAATTAACAAAAAAATGTTTTCTTACCATTTTTAACAGTGCTTAAACTATTCTGAACCACACTTCTAACGCTATTTTTAGTGGTAACACCGTTCTTCCTATCAGCGACGCCACCCCTGGAATTACTTTTTGATTTCAAAGGCTCCAAAGGATAACTTTTGTCGATTCCCGCTTTTTGTCGCCTTTCGTCAAACATTTGTCGCACTTTTCCACCGCCGGTCGAACTCAAACTCGTCGTGCTTCCGGCGCTGCTCCTTCCGACTTTATCGAACGCCCTCTGTTGCTGATTCTCGTAGAGTTTGAGTAGTTTTTCCTCTTTTTCCTGCATCTGCTTCTGCTGAAAGCGGGCCTGGAGCAAAAATAACGATTGTTTCAGTTTCCATTAAATAATTTTACTAGTACAGAATTGGTTGCGTTAAAAAAATCGTTTTGAAAGTATATCTCAGAAAAATTTAGTTTTACGGTGGAAATATCCATTATAAGATTTATAATTAATAAAATTTCCTACAGAATAGCCTAATGTTTTTTATGACAGTAACTATTTCGGAGATATAGCGATGAAAGTGTTGAACAACGCCCAAATTAAACTTTGTTTCTTGCCATATTTAGAGCATGTATTCACATTTTACGATATTAATGTTACTTTTCTTATGCAAATGGGAGTACCGTCAAAAAGTCTGAATTTTTGATATGTGAAATTGCTTGATATCCCCATCAAAAGTGTCTATGGGCCCAATCCTATTCTATAACTATATTTTGAGATACAGGGTGTTGAAGTTAAAAATCCCTAATTCTTTAAAATGGACATCAAAAATCACCCTTAAATATATTTGAAAGTTATTTGTTCATTCTGTATAATCAATATACATACTTAACTACTATATATATACTATATAAAATATTGTCACTTACAGGGCAATTCATGATTCCGCAGATATTTTTCGCTCACAGTAGGCACTTCCACCGTTAAAGTCTCTCAATATTTTATATTTTATAGTTCTCGATGTACTCGTTCGAAATTTAGTAGATCGTATATTAAATATTTTGATATACTGTGTTGGATTGGGAATGTACCGCCTTGCACTATTTGGAGACAGACAAAAAAATTTGTACTTACAGATCAGAGTTGAATATGTAAGGTGAAAAAATCAACAAGAAATGTTGAAATTGTTGGCAAAGAATAGAAACGAATTGCCTTGTCCACATACAGGGTCATATATTATTCCATTACAAAAAAAGTTCATTATACGGTAGGTCTAAGTAGGATCTAAAGAAATTAATTGATTCGAGTACAGGTTTTTTTGGCTCGAGCATTGTCATAAGTACCTCTTTATATCTGAGGCCCTTCCTATGGGGCCTCAGTATTCGTGTAGACGAAAAACTTTTGTTACACCTACTTTTTAAGACTTTAAGATCATTCTAGAGTCCGTAAATGCAAACAAAATGTTGGTCGTCTGTGCATATGTGTGATCCGATTCGGTTTTAATTTTCTTGAATAATTACTTCTAACTTAGACGCTATTGATTTTTAGAATTTTTGATTTAACCTAACTACTTTAATATCAATGTTCTTAAAATTCCATGCATTTCTTATGGGGCTTATTTTACGAATTCCAATCATTCCAATATAGTAAAATCAGAACAATGTCAACTGTGAAACCACAGATAGTTTTATATATTGGTGTGACTCTTAAATGTCAAATTATTGAAAAGATTTTATCCACTACAGTTTTACAATATATCTATTTTTTATTAATTTGTTCACTTAAAATGCACTATTAGCAAAAATAATCATTATTCACTACTTTTTATCACTACTACCAATTCGCGATTCAAATAAATGTTCAGGTGCCTGTCATTTGTCACCTACAAGTAGGATACTTGTTTATTTACATTGTGTTTGTCTTGGGCGGGATTTTGTATTTGTGATTTTTTATCTGGTTTTAGATAATATTCTTGTTATACTAGTGTTTTTCAGTTTAATTTAGTATTAAGTAGGTTTAGTTTCCGTGCTGTCGTATATATTTTTAATAATATTTTCACATAGACAGGTCTAAGGGTCAAAACAAATATTTTTACGTGAGCAGGCTAAAGGGGTAAAGGAATCATATAATTTTACATGAACAGATTTAGAATATTTTACATGAGCAGGCTTAGGAGGTAAAGAGGCCAATTATTATTAGATAAACTGTTCGAACAAGTTGTAAATTCTAATAAAAAGGACTATGGAATGGTTTTAAAAATCAAATCTTATGACAATCATGACGTGGTTTAACCTAAGTAATGGTAATGCTTCACAAACCTGAAAATTCAACGTATTTATATTACTATCGGCTTTTGGTCTTTCGTTCAAATCATTTCTAGTTTTTTTTTTGCTACGAGTTTACCCTTATGGGCCTCAGTCTCGATAAGATGGGAATCACCATTTAGCGTATATTCAAATCAGATTGTGAGTACCTTTCTGCGCCACCCATGAGGTAAAGCCCCCAATACATTTTGTTTTAAATCGTATCCTCTATAGTATGGTAATAGTTGAACTTGCAATGTGAAAAAATCAAAAACATAAAATTATTCCCAAAGACTAGAACATTAATTGCTTGTGAATTTTTTATTGAAAAAGCTTATAAATATACATATATTATTATGTATTTAAGTTGTTACATATAATTATAAGAAATATTCCTTCCATGTTATTAATTGCTCATACATTTAACATAAATCGAGTAGCATTATTGCCATTTTTACGAAACAATTGTTTATATTTTTGTAGTCTACAGCTCACCTGTTCCTCTCTTAATTTTTCAAGGGCTTCTCAATAATAATATTATGATTTAAATACAGGGTGATACAATTTTAGTAATTTTCAAATCACCGGTGTTCTTATACTGCCATTATGTAAAGGCATGCAAGCTGTTTTGTCAAGTATTTAACGATTATACGCCCTAAATTCTTGAACTTGGAAATATAGATAATCTTTAACATCCTATAACTCCGTAATTTTTCACTTCAGACATAAAGTGTCATAGCTTGTTGTAATCGCATGTGCATTTTAAGTCTACTTTGGTCTGGTACCGCATTGAGGACCACCCTTTATATTAGAAATGATAAAATATAAAATTCAAGACTGCCTGCAAGGTTTGCTTTTTATCTATATCTACTATGACAATATATAATTATTCCGAACATTTTCACAAAAATTGATCGCACCTATTTTGTATCTGTTTTAAGCGATTGATAGATTTTGATAGTAAATTCTCAATATTGGTAAATATGTCAACTACCTAATAGGAGATAAAAACATGCTTACACTTGATTAATATATATTCATTTAGAACCCATATTATTAAATATTTAGACTTACCGTACAATGAACTTTTTTATATTGAAATAATGTATGACCCTGTATGTGGATTTATAAGATTTGTTTGAAATTAATTTCAAATTTATTTTTAACAACAACTTCTCCATAACCCCTCGTAACACAACATCTGTATGCTTGCCCTATCATTGTTACCATTATCGATTTTTACAATGCATCGTTCGCGCATGACCTGCTAATATCGGCGCATAGCCCATAGCGATTCTTTCAGCCACGAGTTCATATAAAACCTAAAATGGTGAATTGGTTCTTTCTTTCTGGTGTTTAAAGTTAAAAGGTACTAGCGTGCCGATAAATTTAACAAAATGAATTGCTAGTAGTTATCTTTCTCTTAATTTGTGTTTATTAAGTGTGAACGTTGGGATAATTGTCAGGTAAATGTTTCTCTTTTATTCCCATTTTGCTGGATTTTGTTGCAAAACCGAAGCTCCGCCATGTGCTTTTTTTTTATTACCACCATGCTGGAAAAAGCCGGTTTCTGTATTTAATTTCATTTTATATAGATTATAGCTACCCTAACTAATAATATTTTTTAAGCTTTCTTATATCTATTAATATAAATGTGTTATCATTGAATTACTTTGATATATACGCGGGGAGGCAACTAAATAATTGAATTACAAGTTTGGAAATACAGTTTAAACGGAAATTCATGGCTCCTAACTTATTTTTGCCTTATAAATATTTTATATTCTGTTCAGATAATGTAACTTTAATATTTGTCGTGATATTTTATATTTTGTTCAGATGACGTAACTTTAATATTTGTCGTGATATTTTATATTCTGATGTAACTTTGATATTCATTCCGGTTATGCATAAATCCGTTATATTTCCAAACTGGCATGTATATGTACTTTTACACACGGTACTCAGGTTCTTTTATTTCTAAACCTGTAGTGGCTCCTCCCAGTATCCAAGAAGTCTCCAAGAAGTACTCCTCCCAGTAACCAAGAAGCCTCCAAGAAGTACTCCTCCCAGTATCCAAGAAGCCTCCAAGAAGTACTTCTCCCAGTATCCAAGAAGCCTCCAAGAAGTACTCCTCCCAGTATCCAAGAAGTACTCCTCTAAGTATCCAAGAAGAATACTCTATACCTTCAAATATTGTCTCCAACAAGAAGAGGCTACTCTACCGCTAAGTACTGTCTTTACTGTCTCAAAGAAGAAGTACTGTCTCCAAGAAGAGTACTCTACCTCCAAGGACCGTCTCTAAGAAGAAGCTCTAGAACGTATTAAGAAGCTCCAAAGTCCTCCAGGAAGCTCATAGTTGCCTCTAGCTATAAAAAGGAAAGTACCGTATCTACATACCAAAATACCACCATCTATCAGTATCATCAGTAAATTTTATCACTCATTCATTCAACTCATTCGCTATTTAATTTGTAAAATTAATCTTTCACTTTTTTAATAAATGTATTAAATTTTCTCAAATTCTTTTATTTGCCACAACTCTTACAGATAACTTTATGTACCAGAGACAGACTCAATTAAACAGGACATTTAAAATCAGAAGTTTTCCAAGTTACTGAAAAACTTGGTGGCGCTCAACTTTTTTTGTCGTTGCTTTACTTTAATATCTTTCATTTTATCTTAAAGTAGATCTTGGCCCGCGAACAGGTCAAGCTACTCTAATTTTATTTCTCCTGGTCAATTTTTGAATCCACACATGTCAACAATTTGAGCTAAATTACTTATTAAATAATTAACAACATAGAAATCTAGAAAAAAGGTAACAGATTTTTTTAATGAACAACTCGCAAGAGGTTATATTTGTAAAACTAGTCATCGGATCCAATTTTACCAATAAGAATTTCGAGCGAGTGCATTGAGAACTATACAATATCAAATATTAAGAAACTCTGACGATGTTATTATTTTTCGGTGTTTTAGCTATTTTAGTACACTGGAAATACCTACTTTGACCGAAAAGGATCTGCGGAATCATGAATCACTTTGTGTATTTCGCTTATA